AGAGAGAGAGAGAGAGAGAGAGAGAGAGAGAGAGAAAGAGAGAGAGATGCGGGAGAGGGCTGATGATGAAGAAGCGTTCGTTGAAAATGGCAATGATGATGATGATGATGATGATTATGATGATGATGATGATGATGATGATGGGGATGATGATAATGATAATGATGATGATGATGATCGTCATCATCATCTTGGATCATGTCAGAAGCCTGCCTGTATTAAAACCACCGTTGTGTGAGACTTGGTATAGTTATCATGGCTCAATCAGCAGGCTTCTTCTACTGATGCAACTGCTCTGAGAGACAGAGTAGACCTTGATTCCTCGATCAGCAGCCTGGCAGCAACGCTGCCTCAGAAAGTAGAAGCTAACGGAGAGAGAGAGAGAGAGAGAGAGAGAGAGAGAGAGAGAGAGAGAGAGAGAGAGAGAGAGAGAGAGAGAGAGAGAGAGAGAGAGAGAGAGAGAGAGAGAGAGAGAGAGAGAGAGAGAGAGAGAGACGAGAGTAGAGCTACGCCGCGCACAGACAGCGCAAGCTGCAAGACACTGACGTAGCTCCAATCCGCGCATTCTATCCGCTGCGACGATGAGAAGATCTGAAGAGGCGCGGTAGCTTTGATCTGTGGCGCGGTTCTTCCTAGGGACGGTCGGCGTCTTTAAACTCTAATCGCTTCTCCTGTCTCTCTCTCTCTCTCTCTCTCTCTGTTTTGAGATTCACAATGGCTTCTTCGACTCCCAGTTTATCGGCGCACGTACTCACGCACACGCACGAACGCATGCACACACGTGCACGTACACTAACGTTCGCACGCACGCACACTTACACACGTGCACGTACACGAACGTACGCACGCACACTTACACACGTGCACGTACACGAATGTTCGCACGCACACGTACACGAATGTTAGCACGTACGCACGCACGCACGTACGCACGCACGCACGCGCGCACGAGGCGTCTGCAGCCGACGACACGATAGCAACGTAGAACTCACCATTCCGTCGTCTGCCGACCGGTGTATATATCCAGAACTGCCGACCTCTCTGCCTTCCTCTACAACACACCCGCCGATACCGACGCCATGTGTAGTCGCGCAGACTGTCACCAGCGGCGCGCGGCGGCCGGGGCGGGCTCGCGTCGCGGGGGACGTGGTGGCAGTCTGAGAGCGGCGGGGCAGTTCGTCACGGAGCAGGAGCAGCTATAAAGGCTGGGAGAAGACGCACGGAGGGAGGAAAGCGGAGAGGAGGGGGAGACACACACAATACTGTATAGCGTGGTCGGCCCATCACGATGCGGGGTGAGGGGAGAGGGGGAGAGGGAGAGGGGGCGAGGAGAAGAGAGTGGGGTGAGAGAGAGAGAGAGAGAGAGAGAGAGAGAGAAGAGAGAGAGAGGAGGGAGATATGGTGGAAAGAGAAATGGAAGGGAGAGAGAGATTGGAGAGAGACACAAGTGATGGTACAATCACAAACGGTGCATTTTACCCGCAACCGACAGACATCTACGCCCGGCCGCGCCCCGCCGCGAAGCCACATAGCAGCTCTACCGGGCCAAAACCACAGCACTATAATTTACGCGCGCGCAAGCCACAGGAAGAATAGTAGCCCGCACGTCCCGACGACTACACATTAACCGCCACGGATCACACATTTCTAGCCCCAACGCACGAGGACAGGCATCTAAGCTGCCGCGAACCACACACATTTGCTACCTCCGCGCAGCACACATATACCCAACCGGCAGCAGCACATCTAGGCTGGCGCGACCAGACACACATATACACCCCCCAAGCAACACATATACCCAACCACACATCATATACTGCGATACACAAATATAGCCGCCGGCAACCGGACACATCATCTATCGCGGCAACGCAACAACATCTAACCCGCGAAGCCGAAACACATCTAGCGCCCAATCGCACACACAATATACACTCCGACACACAGCATACTACC